CACAGCAGGTCAGGCAGTATCAGAGGGAACACAGTGTGGAGCTGGAGGAACACAGCAGGTCAGGCAGTATCAGAGGGAACACAGTGTGGAGCTGGAGGAACACAGCAGGCCAGGCAGCATCAGAGGGAACACAGTGTGAAGCTGGAGGAACACAGCAGGTCGGGCAGCATCAGAGGAACAGGATAGTCAGTGTTTCAGGTCAGGACCCTCCTTCAGAACTGGGGGAAGGGGGAAGGGGGAAGGGAGCTGGGAAATAAATAGAGGGAGGAAGGGTGGGGCTGAGGAAAGGTAGGTGGGATGGTGATAGGTGGACGCAGGTAGGGGTAGTGGGGATTGGTGAGTGGGAAGGATTGGGCGGATAGATGGGAGAGAAGATGGACAGGTTAGGGCAGCACGGTGGTTAGCACTGCTGCCTCACAGCGACAGGGACCCTGTCGACTCGACTCTCAGGCGAATGTCCGTGTGGAGATTGCGCATTCTCCCCGTGTCTGTGTGAGTTTCCTCCGGGTGCTCCGGTTTCCTCCCACAGGTGTGCAGGTTAGATGGATTGGCCATGCTAAATTGCCCATAGCATTCAGGGATGTTTAGGTTGGATGGGTGAGACATGGGCAATGCAGGGGTATGGGAATGGGTCTGGGTGGGATGCTCTTCGGAGGGGTCGTATTGGCTTGTTGGGCTGAATGACCTGTTTCCACACTGTAGGGACTCTAGGTTGTGTCAGGTCAAGAAGGCAAGAGGGAGGATGGGTGAGGCTGTGCAAAGGTAGGGGGGGTGGTGACAGGTGGTTGCAGATGGGGGTAGTAGGAATTGGTCAGTGGGAAGGGTGGGCGGATAGGTGGGGAAGAAGATGGACATGTTATGTCAGGTCAAGGAGGCGGGGACGAGAAGGAGACATGGGATGAGACGGGGGTGTTGGGAGATTTTAAAACTGGTGAATTCGATGTTTAGGCCATTGGGTTGTAGGCTCCCGAAACAGAATATGTGGTGCTGCTCCTCCAGTTTCCCGGCAGCATCATTGTGGCCCTGGAGAAGGCCCGGGATAGACGTGTCACCCAGGGAGTGGGGTGGGGGGGCAGTTAAAATGGTTAGCAACCGGGAAGTGCAAATGCTCCACGAAACGGTCCTTGAGTCTACGCTTGGTCTCACCAATGTAGAGGATGCCACAGCGGGAGCAGCGGATCCAGTAGATCACGTTGACGGATTTGCAGGTGAACCCCTGTCTGATATGAAAAGTTTGTTTTGGGCCTTGAATGGAGGTGAGGGGGAAGTGCAGGGGCAGGTGTAGCACTTCCTGCGGTTGCAGGGAAAGGTGCCAGGGGTGGTGGGGCTAGTGGGAGTGTGGATTGGACAAGGGAGTTGCCGAGTGAGCGGTACCTATGAAGGGCAGATATGGGTGGGGAGGGAAATATCTCTTTGGTGGTGGGGTCGGATTGTAGGTGGTGGAAATGGTGGAGAATGATACGCTGGATGCGGAGGTTGTTGGGGTGATATGTGAGGACAAGGGAGAGTCTGTCTTTATTTTTGTTGCGGGGAGAGGGGGCCTAAGGGCAGAAGTATGGAAAATGCAAGAGATGCAGTTGAGGGCATTTTTCATTGCCGGAGGGGGGACGTTGCGGTCCTTGAAATAAGAGGACATCTGGGATGTGTGGGAGTGGAACACCCCATCTTGGGAGCAGATGCAACGGAGGCAGAGGAATTGCTAGTATGGGATTGCATTCTTGCAGGAAGGTGGCTGAAAGGAGGTATAGTCCAGGTAGCTGTGGGAGTTGTTGAGCTCGAAATAGATGTCGGTGTTGAGGCGGTTACCAGAGATGTAGACGGAGAGGTCCAGTAAGTGGAGGGAGGTATCGGAGATGTTCCATGTGAATTTGAGGTTGGGATGAAAGGTGTTAGTAAAGTTAATGAACTGTTCAAGCTCCTCATGGGAGCATGAGGCAGCGCTGATACAGTCATCGATGTAACAGAGGAAGAGGTGAGGGATGGTGCTGGTATAACAGCAGACTGTTCCATGTATCCTACGAAGAGGCAGGCATAGCTCAGACCCATACGGGTGCCCATAGCTACCCCTTTAGTTTGCAGGAAGTGTAAGGAGTTAAAGGAGAAGTTGTTCAGGGTAAAGACAAGTTCTGTTAAGTGGATGAGTCTGTCGGTTGAGGCAGTCTGGTTGGACCAGCAGGAGAGAAAGAAGCCTCCTCCAGTGCCATAATGACGCCACACACAAACTGAAGGAACAACACCTCATATTCCACCTTAGGAGCTGACAGCCCGATGGCCTGAACACAGAATTCACTAGTTTTAAAATCTCCCCACCCCCAGCCTCATCTCCCATCCAAAACTCCCTCTCATTCCCACCTCCTTGACCTGACACAACATGTACATCTTCTCTCCCACCTATCCGCCCCACCCTTCCCACTGACCAATCCCCACCACCCCCTACCTGCATCCACCTATCACCATCCCACCTACCTTTCCGCAGCTCCACTCCTCCTCCTTCTATTTATTTCCCAGCTCCCTTTCCCCTCCCAAGTTCTGAAGAAGCATCCCGACCTGAAACGTCAACTTTCCTGTTCCTCTGATGCTGCCTGACATGCTGTGTTCCTCCAGATCCACACTGTGTTGACACCTAACTATTCTAATCCCATTTCCCAGCACATAGGCCAAGGCATTTGTGCACACAAGTGCACATCCAAATACTTCTTAAATATTCTGAGGGTTTCTACCTCTACCACCATTATGGGCAGTGAGATTTCAGATTCTGATGACCTTCTGGGTGAAAAAGATTTTTTTTCACAACCCCGTAAACCTTTTGCCATTTACCTTAAATCTATGCCCCTGGTCATTGATCCCACCATCACGGGAAAAATTTCATCCTGTCTACTCTGTTTATGTTGCTCATTACTTTACACATCTCAATCACATCCCCTCTCAATCTCCTCTCGAAGGAAAACAACAAGTCCGTCCAGTTTCTCTTGATAACTGAAACTGTCTGGCCCAGGCAACATTCCTGGTAAATTTCTTCTGCATCCTCTCACATCCGTCCTGTAATATGTATTCCAGAACTGCGCACAATACTCTAGCTGTGGCCTAACCAACATTTTACACAGTTCCAGCATAACCTCCCTACTCTTAAACTCTATTCTTCAACTGATAGAGGGAAGGATACTTTATACCTTCTTCACCACTTTACCCCCTGTCCTGGTACCTTAAGAGACAAACATACATACCAAGGTCCCTGTGATCCATGGTGCTTCCCAGGGTCCTACTGTTCATCAGGTATTCTCTTGTTTTGTTAGCCCTGCCCAAGTACATTACGTCACTTATCTGGATTGAATTCCATTTGCCACTAATTAACCCATATGTCCAGCCCATCTCTATCCCCTTGTAGTCTAAGTCTACCTCCTCACTATTTACTGCCCCACCAATTTTTGTATTGTCTGTGAACTTACTGATAAGCCCGTCTGTATTCAAGCCTGAATCATTTGTATAAACCACAACGGCAAGGGCCCAATGCTAACCCCTTTGAGGCCCCACTAGACAGTGAATTCCAGTTGGAAAAATGCCGCTCAACCAATAATGGATTCAATTTGCCCAATTTCCTTGGATCCTACGGGCCCTTCCCTTTGCTATTAGTCTCCAATGCAGGACTTTATCAAAGGCCTTGCTGAAGTTCAAGCAGACTGCATGAAAAGCATTGCCCTCATTTATACACTTTGTCACCTCTTTGAAAAATTCAATCGAGTTTGTCAGACATGACCTCCCCTTAATGAAACCATGCTGACTATTCTTGATTAATCCCTGCCTCTCCAAATTTGGATTAATTCCGTCCCTCAGAATTGCTTCCTATAATTTCCCCACCACTGAGGTTATACTGACTGGCTTGTATTTTTCTGGTTTATCTCTTGCTACCACCTTGAATCATGGTACCACATTGGCCCCTCGGGCACCTTTCCTGTGGCCAGAAAGAAATTAAAGATTTTTGCAAGCACCCCCACTATCTCCTCCCTTGCCTCACTCAACAACCTGGGATACATTTCATCTGGCCCTGGAGATGTGTCTTCTGCATGGCAGAAGAGGTATAATGTGGATAAATGTAAGGTCATCCACTTTGGTAGCAAAACTGGGAAGGCAGATTGTCAGCTGACAGATTGGGAAAGGAAACTTGGGTGTCCTTGTATACCAGTCTCTGAAAGTGAGCATGCATGTACAGGAGACAGTGAAGAACTCAAATAGTATTTTAATCTTCATCGAGAGAGAGATTTGAGTATATAGAAACATAAAACATAAAAAACAGGAGAAGGAGTAGGCCATTTGGCTCTTCAAACCTGTTGAACCATTCATTATGTTCATCACTGATCATCCAACTCAACAGCCATTTCTGCGAGAGAAGGGAACGGGAGCTGGGATGTTTTGCTGCAATTGTTTAGGGTCTTGGTGAGACCACGTCCTGGGCATTGTGTGCAGTTTTGGTCATCTTATCTCAGGAAGGATGTTTTGGCTATCGACAGAGTGCCACTAAGGTTTACAGATAAATTTCTGGGGTGGCAGGATTGATTTATGAAGAGAAACTGGATCAATTACGTTCACTGGAATTTAGAAGAATGATGGGGGGGCGCAGGATCTCATACCTAAAAGTCTGACATTATTTACTGTAAAAAGAAAACATGACGTGAGGTCTGGAGCACTTTCCATGTGATTCTGAGGAATGTCATCAAACAGTTTGGTTGCTGTCTCTACACATTTATTGAAGTGTCCTTTCAGTGTTGAATTTTAACACAATGACTTTCAAAAAGTTGGGTTTAAGTACAATTATTGCAGTGAATTAGAGACTGTCTGCTCCTCAATGCAAGGACACCAGATTCAAAGGAATGTTTGGTTACATTCAAGTGAAAAATTCTATTCAAAATGTTTCTTCAGCAATGTTTTCTTTCTCACATTTGAGGCCCAATGACAATGCGGTGAAATTATGTCTGTAACTGACCTTTTGGTTCTACAACTTTCAGCACACTGCCCGATGAACGAGATCCACACAGATTCCTCAGGAGTCATCTTGAGTCAAGGCTTCCCAGGAAATTATCCTCATTTTCAGACCTGTTCATGGATTATTAAGGTGGATCCAGGCTTCAACATCACACTTCTAATTGATTTCTTCCAGAGTGAAAAACAATTTGATGAACTGGAAATATTTGATGGTACATTTAAATTATTTATAATATATTAAAATTTATGTTGACTTGCTCTAGATATAGTGTATATGTATCCTTTTTTATAAAAGGAGCATATTCGGGACAGACACCAATTTGAAATGTTGACTCTCCATTCCAAAGAACAAAGAAAATTACAGCACAAGAACAGACCCTTCAGCACTCCAAAGCTGCACTGACATTCTGCCCATCACAACTAAAACCACCTACCCTTCCGGGGACCGTATCCCTCTATTCCCATCCTATTCATGTATTTGTCAAGACTCCCTTTAAAAGTCACTATCATACCTGCTGCCACTACCTCCCGCGAAAATGAGTTCCAGGCACCCACCACCCTCTGTGTAAAAAACTTGCCTCACGCATCAGCTTTAAACCTTGCCCCTCGCACCTTAAACCCATGGCCCCTGATAACTGACTCTTCCACCCTGGGAAAAAGCTTCTAATTGTCCATTCTGTCCATGCACTTCATAATCTTGTAGACCTCTAACAGGTTGCCCCTCAACTTCCATCATTCCAGTGAGAACAAACCAAGTTTCTCCAACCTCTCCTCATCGTTAATGCCCTCCATACCAGGCAACATCCTGGTAAATCTTTTCTGTACCCTCTCCAAAGCCATCACATCCTTCTGGTAGTGTGGTGACCATAATTGAACACAATATACTAAATGTGGTCTAACTAAGGTCCTTTAAAGCTGCAACATTACCTCCTCATTTTTAAACTCAATGCCCCAGCCGATAAAGGCAAGAATGCCATATACCTTGTTGACTACCTTCTCCACCTGCATTGCCACTTTCAGTGACCTGTGTACCTGTACACCCAGATCCCTCTGCCTATCAGTACTCTTAAGAGTTCTGCCATTTACTGTATATTTTCCATCGGGATTAGCCGGCCTGTAATTAACTGGATTATCCCTGCCACCCTTCTTAAACAAAGGAACAATATTGGCTATTCTCCAGTCCTCTGAGACCTCCCCTGTAGCCAGTGAGGATACAAAAATTTCTCTCAAGAGAAATACATTGCCTCACATTTTTCCAGATTAAACTCCATCTGCCATCTCTCTGCCCAAGTCACCAACCAATCCATATCCTGCTGTATCCTCTGATGGTCCTCATCGTTATCCACAATTCCACCAACCTTTGTGTCATCAGCAAATTTACTAATCAGAGCAGTTACATTCTCCTCCAAATCATTTATATGTATTACAAATAGAAAAGGCCCCAACACTGATCCCTGACAAACACTATTAATCACAGCCCTCCATTCAGCAATGCACACTTCCACTGCTAACCTCTGTCTTCTATGACCAAACCAGTTTTTTATGCATCTTGCAAGCTCACCTCTGACCCCATGCGACATCAGTCTGTCATAAGGGACCCTGTCAAAGGTCTTACTGAAGTCCATGTAGACTACATCCACTGTCCTACCCTCATTGATCATCTTCATCACTTCCTCAAAAAACTCAATCAAGTTAATGAGTCACAACCTCCCCTTCACAAAACCATGTTGCCTCTCACTAATACACCTGTTTATTTCCAAGTGGGAGTAAATCCTGTCTCGAAGAATCCTCTCCAATAATTTCCCTACCACTGACGTAAGGCCCACCGGCCTGTAATTAGCTAGATTATCCTTGCCACCCTTCTTAAACAAAGGAACAACATTGGCTATTCTCCTGTCCTCTGGGACCTCCCCTGTAGCCAGTGAGGATGCAAAGATTTCTCTCAAGGCCCCAGCAATTTCCTCCCTTGCATCTCTCAGTATTCTGGGGTATATCCCATCTGGCCCTAGGGACTTGTCTACCTAAATGTTTTTCAAGACCCCCAATAGTTCCTCCCTTTTGATCTCAACATGATCCAAACTATCTACACACCGTTGCCCAGATTCATCATCCACCAAGTCATTCTCTATGGTGAATACTGACCCAAAGTATTCATTTAATACCTCACCCTTTTCCTCTGGCTCCACACATAAATTCCCTTTTCTGAACTTGAGTGGGCCAACCCTCTTCCTGGCTACCCTCTTGCTCTTTATATATGTATAAAAAGCCTTGGGATTTTCCTTAATCCTGTTGGTCAATGACTTTTCATGACTCCTTTTAGCCCTCCTGACACCTTGCTTAAGTTTCTTTCGACTTTCCTTGTATTCCACCCTTGCTTCGTGTATTCCCAGCCTCTTAACCCTAACAAATGCTTCCTTTTTCTTTTTGATTAGGCTCACAAAGTCTCTCATTATCCAAGTTCCCTAAACTTGCCATACTTACCCTTCATCCTTACAGGAACATGCCGGTCCTGAGTTCTTATCAACTTACACTTGAAAGCCTCCTACATACCAGATGTAGATTTCTCAAACTTCTGCCTCCAATCTATTTTCTTCAGTTCCTGCCTAATATTGTTGTAATTAGCCTTCCCCCAATTTAGCACCTTCACCTGACAACTACACTTATCTTTTCCCATCAGAACCTTAAAGCTTACTGAATTGTGATCACTGTTCCCGAGCTGCTCCCCTACTGAGACGTCAACTACCTGGCCAGGCTCATTCCCCAATACTAGGTCCAGTACGGCCCCTTTCCTAGTTGGACTATCTATGTACTATTTCAGGAAGCCCTCCTGGATGTTCCTTAAAAACTCTGTCCCATCCAGAGTTTTTAAGGAGCATCCAGGAGGGCTTCCTGAAATAGCACTAAGTGAGTCCCATACCCCATTCAAATTCTGTGAACCTCGATATTTAACATTGTCCAACCGTTCAACTGGGAAGAGACCTTCTCGTGACATTTCATCCGACCTTATTAAGGTTCATCACCATGCATTCAGAAATGTGAGGACCCCTAGTCTTCTTTCTTTGGCTATTTCTTGTTCCTGCCTAGAGAGAGGCTAATTGCAATCCTTCTGCACCACCTTACTTAATATTAGCAAACTCAGTATAGGGACATAAGAGCAGGAGTAGACCATTCAGCCCTTCAAATCTTCTCGACCATGTCTGCTAATCATATGGACCAGATATCAATCTTGAGATTTTCTTGTCATTATGAACCCTACTTCTTTCTGTAATGTATTTCCTCTCAGCCCTATAAGAGAGTTTGATTGGTTTTCTGCAAAGTATTATATTAGCAAACGTTGTACAAGGATTTCAATCCGAACTTATACTTTATTTACTGTATTTCCATCTCTTGGTGTTGGTTGGGTTGAGTTGGTTGAGTATTTTCCTGATAGAGCATCCTTTCTCCTTACATCCAGGCAGCTGAAGGCTGATATTGTGGTAAAAGAGTATTTTTTTGTTGTAATTAAGAGTGCTCCCAACACAAACTAAGTATTTATACTATGCAAGTGAAAATTTGAGCAGTGGTTTATGCTCAATCAGTTATCCACTAACCCAGATGCAGTATTGATCATGAAACATTTTTATGTGGGTTTTTGGTTACAATCCAGATCAGATTGACTGGTTGTTGATCGTCCTAATTGAAATGGATCCCAACATGATTCACTCATCTTAGATTACACAGCTAGGGATATCACTAGCACTAGTATTAACAATTAGCAGGATAAATTGAACTCTGTGGAAAATAATCATTTAATAAGAACAGTGACTTGCATTTTTGTAGGGCTCCTTGTGAAGGCAACAATTAATTGAGCAACCCGTAAGCAATGGTAGTACATCAACTGCTCACTTTTGAACATTTCTCATTCACTACTTTAGCTTGAGAACTAAATTCTTTCAGGCCGGTCCCTTCCAACCCACCAATTGGTTATTGTACGGGTGTCTTGCAGATAGGAAAATGGTATTTCATGAAATGTGATACATTTCAATAGTCACCAACGGTTTCGGTGTGTATGCACTCCAGCTTTTTTTAAATTAAAAAGCTGCAGTTCATAGAACCACAGAATCCTTACAGTGTGGAAGCAGACCATTCAGCCCATCGAGTCCACACTAACCCTCTGAAGAGTATCTCACCCAGACCCACATCCCTACTCTGTCCCTGTAACCCTGCATTTTCCATGGCCAATCCACCTAACCTGCACATCTTTGGACTGTAGGAAGAAACCAAAGCACCCGGAGGAAACCCGCACAGACACAGGAAGAATGTGCAAACTCCAAACAGACAGTTGCCCTGGATCCCTGGTTCTGCGATGCACCAGGGCTAACCACTGGACCACTGTACCACCCTGGGTCTTGCAGGTTTTATTTTAGGGGGCAGAATACTTTAACATCAAAGGTTTTAACCTTATTGAAATTGTTGAAAGTCAAAGTTAGTTTTTCTTTAGCAGTGCAGTTTTGATGTAACATATTTGGGATCAGAAAACAAAAACATGTTCCAGATCTTCTGGTCGGTGGATAGTTGGAGATCACACATACCCCCAAAGATATGTGTTCGGAATTATTGGAAGTTCCGATGCAGTGATTGTGAAGGAATTGCCTGGGAAATTTAAAGATCCACTCAGCAATTACCTTGCATCTGGAAACCTCTGAGAAAAATATTCAGCTGTGAGTTACAGTTGGAGATTTTGTACAGTTCTGACACAGTTACCTGCATATTTACCCAGGAAATGTTAGGCAGATGAAAACCAACTCCTGGGTGGTGTACAGTGACACTCCCACCTACCTCCCAGACCAACCTCCAACTCTCCCTGACACAAACTTGCCACCAATCAGCCTGACAACCTATCCATATTCCTCATCCACATTCATTCACTAACACACTGTATCTCAGAGCTGTTCAGTCTGTTAATGAACTTATCAAAATATGGCAGCTAGTGCCACAAAGCGGTGGTCTGGTTTTGATTTCCCCCGACCAACTTGCACTACAAAGAAGGACTCCGAAAACAGGTATAGTCTGCCTTTCTAGGAACATAGGCACAAGATTGGGCTGTTCAGCTTCCCGAGTTGGCTGTAACTTGTTGGATCATAGCTGATCGTTCAGTTCAATACTCTTGCACTACCCCCATATGCCATTACGACATGGAAATTTGTCAATCTGTATCTTTACCATAAGCAATGGCTGAGCTTCCACAGACCCCTGGGTAGAGAATTCCAATTATACACTGCTCGCTGCTTTTTGAGAGACTTCTGCTGGTACAGGAATTGAACCCCTGCTATTGGCATCACTATGCATCCAACTCTCCAGCTAACTGAGCTAACCAACCTTATCACCAAAGCTACCTAGTTGATGGACTTTTTAAAAATCCCTTTGACAGCACTCAACGTCCATAACAGGCTTCAATCCACAGGAGCAAATTGACTGTCAAAAAACAAAGGTTGTCTGTATCTTTTAGCCCTTCCTAACTTCCAAGTCAGAAATGCAGGGCTCAGGCAAAGGTTTGACAAAAAGAAGAGTGGAGAGTTGAAGAGACAACAAGGTTCAGGGCTGGATGAACACAGCAGGCCAAGCAGCATCATAGGAGCAGAGAGGCTGCCGTTTCGGGCCTAGACCCTTCATGTTTTAAGCTGGTGTATATCTCTCAAAACGTCTTTAACAGTTTGAATCCTGTTTCAGCCCTCCCATTTACAGCAGTTTGTGCTTTGTTGTATTTTCTTAATGGCATTTGAAATGGCATGGTACAAAGTTAATTGGCCATCTAAACACAGCAGAATAGGTTGCCTCATGATATTAAAAGCCATGTGCTGTATGCACCCTTACTCAAATATTTATTTATGTTTTGTTTTCTTTCAGGACCTTCAAGTCAAAACCCACTGCTGATCTCTCTCAGTGGCAACTACACATCTCCAATAACTGTCGTCAGCTCGGGCAATAAGGTATACCTCCGCTGGTCAACTGACCACGCCACGAGTCGGAAAGGCTTTAAGATCCATTATTCAGGTTAGTAAGCCTGGGAAAGTCCTCCACTAGTCACGCCAATCCCTCAAATGTCTCCCTTAGGTTTTACTTGATCCAAAAGTCGGAAGAGAGAGACCCAGTGAAAGAAATATCTCGCAGTGAAAGAGCAACATATATTCTTAAAGGTCCTGTGTTATCCCTGAATTTGTCCTGCTGCATTGCCATTTCTTCACTGTCACTTATAGTCAAAGTCATGGTTTCCTCAGTATTCCTGGTGAAGATGTGGTGATGTAGTGGGAAGGACACCCAGAATGTTTAGCACCAAGTTGTTCTAACATGTTCTTTTTACATTATTTTCTAAATTGCAATCTAAGCAGTCATGCAGGATCCAGTTCTCTATAATAATAGGTACCTCAAATGGCATTTCATTTAAGTTCATTTAATCTGTCTTTGGTGATAATGGTTAAAATAGAAAATGGAAGGAATTACTCCCTGTTCTTCTTTTATTGCCAGCGGACATTCAAAACCCACCCAAACACGGCAAATTATGGCATTTTATCTCAAAGTCAACACCTTCAACAAGGCAACACTTTTCTAGTCCTGTTCTGAAAAGCCAATCCTGTGGTGAAGCCCTGGATTAATGCTTTAAACTACAATAACAGCTTTAATCTGGTTCATTTTCTTCAAATTCTTAGGGATGTGGGCATCACTGGCAATTACAGTGTTTGCTGTCCATCCCAGTTCACTAGTGGTTCACTAGGCCATTTCAGATTACAGTTAAGAGTCAACCACAGCTTAAGAGTTGACCACATTGCTGTGGATCTGGAGTCACATGTAGGCCAGTCCAGGTAAGAATGGCAGATTTCCTTTCCTAAAAGGCATCAATGAACCAGTTGTATTTTACAACAAATAATACTAGATGTTATGGTCTAACTTTTACTTCCAGGTTTTATGAACTGAATTTAAATATTTCCAGTTGCCATTGTAGAGTTGATGGCATTAAGGTAAAGCTGCTGTAGTCCCAGAGGACTATGGGGCTGCTCTCTCTTAAGAGAGACACAATTGGTAGTGGTTTAATTTCAGAGTCACCATGCCTCAGGCAAGGGTGAGGTTGAGAAGTTGGGACCTTCGTGCTGACTTCTGCTGGTACAGGAATTGAACCCCTGCTATTGGCATCACTATGCATCCAGCTCTCCAGCTAACTGAGCTAACCAACCTTATCACCAAAGCTACCTAGTTGATGGACTTTTTAAAAATCCCTTTGACAGCACTCAACATCCATAACAGGCTTCAATCCACAGGAGCAAATTGACTGTCAAAAAACAAAGGTTGTCTATACCTTTTAGCCCTTCCTAATTTCCAAAATTGGACTTTCATTCAAACTGGGGTCCATGTCTGCGGGCAATGTACTGCAGAGGTTTGCTTTCTGTGGGATGCCTGACCAGGAAACTCTCCAACTTTACCAACCTGCCATCAGGCATATTGAAAGATTCAAAGCTGATATCAAACTATTTGGCTACATTATGAATGCACCTTTCACAGCCAGCGAGCTCTGGCATGGGATTTGAAACAGAGCCACAAGACCTCCCAATCAACACTGTCTGTTGGAAAATTAATAGTGTCAGACCACGGCAATTATTGTCATAAGGAAGTAAAAGGCAACCCCAGAGCACTTGTGTTATTTTGTCATTGAGGTATTTTGTCAGGAGAGAACAGAGGAGCTTTTGTCTGGACCTCGTGCATGTTGCATTCATCAGAGGTGTTATTTTGTTAAAAATAAGAAAATAGAAAGTCTCTCAACTCTGAGATATTTGACCTTGATTAGCACAAAACACTTCTGATATGCATCCGTGCCAGAGGAAAAATCTAAATTATAGAAGAGATTGTTCTAGCCTTTGCTTTCCCCACTTTCTTCTTTGCTGATCTGGAACAGGTATTTTGCTCAAGATGTAAATTCATTGGGGCTGAGAAAATCAAGATAAAATCCAAGTGGGTGTGATGATCCTGACTTGAATCAGTTTGTGACTTAGCTGCTGCCTTCTAATTAAAATGTCTTCATCTGCTGCCTTTTCAGTTGCTGGTAATCAAATTCTGAGCAAAAGAGGTGGCATGGATATTTTCTATTCATTGCTTCATTCTGCAACAAATTGCCTGCCTTGTAATTAAATAAGTTGAAAAGCCTCCATTCTAAAAGTGAAAGAGATCTGCAAACCTGTCCGGTAATCCAATAGAAGTGTGATGAATGCAATCACCGTTGGCAGCAAATGTAGGGAGAGAACCATTCTTGCATTGAGAGTAGCTTGATTTTCCTCACATTTAAAGGCACATTGTCAAAGGGCTATCGTGCTATATATAAGTTGTTTGCTGGGAATGCATTCTGCAGCCTCTTATAATGCCATTCACAAACTATGAATAGAACACAATGGGTCCATGGGGAAACTGGGATTTACCCAATCTTGCATTCTATCTGACAGGAAGTCTCATAGTATTCAGCATCGTGGGTATAAACCATATTCTTCCAGTCAGTAATGAATATAGCCTCCCTCACACATTTCCCTTTGTTTGTTCTTTTAAAATGTGACATCCCTTGACATTCCCAGTTCTTCCTCTACCATCCACCAAGTTGCAAGTAGGCATACAGAGCAGTTGGGTCACTTCGTTTGAAACATAGATCACTTCACGTCAATGATAGGAGCGCCAACTTATTTTGCTCAATTTATAAAGTTCTTTCCATTGTGATGCCACCTTTCAGCCACTCTTGCACTAGTTCTCTTATTTTAACCAGCTTTTAGATTTGTAACCAGGTTTAGATATTTCCGCTTAAATGTGAGAAAGTCTAGACTGTGCTGAGGTTTCCAGCAGTGTGAACAGTAAGAAAATGGTGTGTTTTCATCAACTTTTCTTGTCAAAGGGTGTTTTGCCTTAGTATTCAGGAGGCAAATGGAGAAACTGCAAAGTGGCAATGCAAAGTGGCAATGCCAAGTAGCAGAGAACAAGGTAGATTGGGAATAGTTGAGAAATAGTTTGCAAAATCAACTAATTGGTGCTAAGCAGACAAGGCAAGTAATAGAGTCATAAAGGTGCACAGCATGGAAACAGACCCTTCGGTCCAACTCATCCATGCTGACCTGATATCCTAAACAAATCTAGTCCCACTTGACAGCATTTGACCCATATCTCTCTAAACCCTTCCTATTTATACGCCCAGCCAGGTGCCTTTTTAATGTGGTAATCATACCAGCCTCTGCCACTTCCTCTGACAGCTCATTCCATGCACATATCACCCTCTGCGTGAAAAAGTTGCCCCTTAGATCCCTTTTAAATCTTTCCCCTCTCATCTTAAACCTATGCCGTCTAGTTTTGGATTCCCCCACCCACGGGAAAAGATCTTATCTATTTACTCTATCCATGGCCCTCATGATTTTATAAACCTCTATAAGGTGACCTCTTAGCCTCCAATGCTGCAAGGAAAATTGTCTCAGTCTATTCAGCCTCTCCCTGTAGCTTAAAACCACAACCCTGGCAAAATCCTTGTCAATCTTTTCTGAACCCTTTCAAGTTTCACAACATTCTTTCTATAGCAGGGACACAACAATTGCAGCCAGTATTCCAAAAGTGGCCTAACTAATGTCCTGTACAGTCGCAATGTGACCTCCCAACTCCTATACTCAATGCACTGACCAAGAAAGGCAAGCATACCAAACGCCTTCTTCATTATACTCAATGCAGTGACCAATAGAGGCCAGCATACCAAACACCTTCTTTACTATCCTACCTGTGACTCCACTCTCAAGGAACTATGAACCTGTACTCCAAGGTCTCTTTGTTCAGCAATGCTCCCCAGGACCTTACCATTAATTGTACAAGTCCTGCCCTGATTTGCCTTTCCGAAATGAAGTACCTCACATTTATCTAAATTAAACTCCATTTACCACTCTGCGGTCCATTGGCCCATCTGATCAAGATCCCGTTGTGCTTTGAGGTAACCTTCTTCACTATACCTCCCCTATACCTTCCCTATACCTCTAATTTTGGTACCATGTGCAAACTTTCTAACCATACCTCCTATGTTCACATCCAAATCATTTATATAAATGACAACAAGCAGTGGACCCAGCACCGATCCTTGTGGCACACAACTGGTCATGGGCCTCCAGTCTGAAAAGCAACCCTCCACCACCACCCTCTGTCTTCTACATTCAAGCCAGTTTTGTATCCAAATAGATAGTTCTCCCTCTATTCCATGTGATCTAACCTTGCTAACCAGTTTACCATGAGGAACCTTGTTGAACGCCTTACTGAAATCTGTATAGATTACTTCTTTCGCTGTGCCCTCATCAACCCTTTGTTACTTCTTCAAAAAACTCAAGTTAGTGAGACACAATTTTCCACACACAAAGCTGAAGTGACAATGCATAATATTGCCCAATTCTATTAGCAACCTGGGTAAATCTGTAGTATATAAGTGATAATTTGACAAGTTAACTTGCATGGCTTCTGCATACAGCCTAGTGCCTCAATAATGAGTGGCTTCGCACACTCCAGATCAGAAGTTTTAACTGTCTACCTTCTTATCCAATGAGGTCAAAGGGATTTAAGACAATGTGTTATTTCCAATCTTGCTGTATGGGGAACACACGGCAAATATGTTTACACTTGCAAAGACTTCTTGTTCCAGAATGCAGTGTTAACTGTCCAAGGGAAAGGAATGCTTATTAATAGACAGCAATATGAATAATGTGTTGGTAAGGTAAAGTTGCCATGGTTTTATGAGACTGTAAGGCTGCTGCCTCATGAGAGAGAGGTGGTAGTGGTGGTTTAACCAGAGGATCACCATGTCTCAGGCAAAGGGAGGAGAGTTCTTCATAGTAACCTCTGCCTGTGCGGGAATTGAACCCATAGTGTTGGCATCACTGTGCATCACGAATCAGCCGTCCAGTCAACTGAGCTAACTGACCCTATTTATAGAGTCATACAGCATAGAAACAGGCCCTTTGGCCCAACTCATCCAAGAGAAATGCAAATCTATGTTAGTAGAGAGA